TGGTGGGTGCCTGTAGTCCCAGCTAGTTGGGAGGCTAAGGCAAGAGAATTGCCTAAGCCGAAGAGTTGAAAGTTGCTATGAACTGTGACACCATTGCGTTCTACGGTGGGCGATAAAGTGAAACCCTGTCTCTTAAAAAATAAATAAATAAATAAATAAACAACCCAATAAAACAGTTAGCAAAAGATTCAAACAAATGCTTCCACCAAAAAGATACATGATAGCAAAGAAGCACATGAAAAGATGCTCAAAGCATTACTCATTTGGGAAATACAAATTAAAACCACCATTGCATGCCCAATAGAATGAATAACATTTAAAAGATTGGTCACAACAAATGTTGTCAAGGATGTGAAAGAACCAGAACTCTCATAATTACTACTAAATATATAAAATGGTGGCTCGGCGCCTATAGCTCAACCGGCTAAGGCGCCAGCCACGTACACCTAAGGTGGCGGGTTCTAATCCCCAGCCCGGACCCGCCAAACAACGACGGCTGCAACCAAAAAATAGCCGGGCGTTGTGGCGGGCGCCTGTGGTCCCAGCTACTTGGGAGGTGGAGGCAGGAGACTCGCTTGAGCCCAGGAGTTGGAGGTTGCTGTGAGCTGTAATGCCACGGCACGCTACCCAGGGGGAGAGCTTGAGGCTCTGTCTCAAAAAAAAAAAAAAAAAAAAAAATATATATATATATATAAAATGGTACAAAGACTTTGAAAGACAGTTTGCCATTTTAAATATATGCCTACCATTTGAACCAGCCATTCCACTCCTAAGTATCCAAAAGAAAAGGAAATTTATGTCCATTGGAATGTTCACAGCATCACAATATGTAACAGCCCAAAAGTGTAAGAAACTAAAATGTCCATCAGCAGACGAATGGATAAACAAATCATATAATGTACAATGGAATACTACCTACTTAGCAAAAAGGAATTACCTATACATGCATGCAACAACACAGAGTAATCACAAAATATACTGAATGAAAGCAGCTGAATGAAAAAAAATATGTACTGTATGATTCTATATATTGAAAAAAATGTAGGCTTGGTGCCCGTAGCTCAGTGAGTAGGGCGCCAGCCACATACACCAAAGCTGGTGGGTTTGAGCCAGGCCCGGGCCTGCCAAGCAAAAAAACTATATGGTAACAGAAGGCAGATTAGTAATAGCTTAGGGAAAGAGGGTCTGGGAAGGTACAGAAGGGAGGTATTAAAAATAAGCAGGAGGATATGTTCACTATCTTAATTTTGCTGATACTTGCATGGCTATATACATATCAAAACTAATCAAAATGTAAACATGTTTGCAAGAAAACAGCAAAGAATAGAAAACCATCTTTCTATACAATAAACAATTTCTCGACTTTAAGGATTTAAATAAAAATATATTCAGATTTTGGCATAATGCCTGAATTAACATTTAGAATTCTGAAATACATAGGATGAAGAGAGGACACAAAAATATAAAGGAGAACACTAAAAGAAACTAAGATGTATTGTCAATCAATACAGTAGTCTTCCTCTTAAAAGAAATTCAACTTGCATTGTTTCAAAGAAATAATTCGTGATGCAATTTGTTAGTGAAAAGCCACAATACAAATATCAAGTTGTCTTTGAGCAAACCTTTTTTTGATCATTTTATACATTAATAGAAACTATAAGAAGCTAAGTTTGACTGTATGGATAAGTAATAAGCCACATCAACAATGTGCCGAAGAAAATTTTTTGATGGGGCACGGTGGTTTTCAATTCTAGGTACAATGCAAGACACAAGAAACTTTTCCTTTATGTATTTCCCCATTCTTTTTGTATTCCCTTCTCACACTTCGATATCTCCTATCACAATCCTTTCCTATGCAGCCAAATAACCTACTGACATCTACAACTACCATGTTTCACCTTTCTTTTATTTCTCTAATCAACCAAGTTCTTTTAATAATTCCTGAACAAAAATAAATAGCAAACAAATGCTGAAGTGCATATGATACCAAAAGCACAAGCAATAAAGGAAAATTTGATAAACTGGACTTAAAATTCAAAACTTTGTGAGCTACAAAAGTTACTATCAAGAATGTGAAAAAGGCTCGGCGCCTATAGCTCAACC